GAAGCCTCCCTTTAGAGAGTGCTTTGTTCCTGAAAGCACCAAGTTCTTTTCAATAATTCTTTATTTTCCTCATCACTTTCTATTGTAAAATTTGTGGGGGGAAAATCCCAATGTCTCACAAAACCAGAAACAGAAGTATGTGCACTAAGACCCAGGAGCATGACTATAAGCAACTACGGAACTTTTGCATGAGATAGCCATTTGTAAGGATCCAGTGAGACTCTACTCTGCTCCATTAACCTATCAGTCTATCTTATCTATTCTCATGTCCATCCATCCATCCATCCAGTCACTTGGAAACCAAATTATTTTATTTTCAGAGTTGTCAAATATATTTTGGATTATATATTTGGTTGGGCAAGTTTCTTTTTGCTAACCCCCCAGATTTATCACATAGTCTTTCATAAGAATTTTAGAATCTGCTAATAAAGTTCAACTACAAATGCTGTTGGAGTTGTCTGACTGAAATCATCTCTTCAGAAAAGAGGAAATCACAAAGTTTAAACTAACCAAGAAGCTTCAGTCTTGGGATTATAATTACCACTTTGATTTTGGTTCCTTTGTCACCTTAGAGACAAATTCCAAAGTGAAGGCTGAGGTTTCTAAAGTCTCTTTTAAAAGAGGTGCATGCAAATTCAGAGCGTCTGTTATTGACCACAGAAAACAACAAAAGGAGATATTCAATAAGCCTATTCAATAAACCTGCAGGGCAGTTAGGGCTTCAGGAGGACCAAAGACAGAAAAATTGAAGGAAGTAGCTAAGCTAGCAGTAACAATGGGTTTGGGTCAGGATGGTGAAATAATTGGCATCATTAGTTCCTGTCATACACTAGAATCTCTGCTAGTAAGAAGGACCCCAAGTAGGATGATAGTAGGAACACTCCCTATCCTATAATATTGTCGAAAATAGCCTGTGACAAATGAGCCTGAGTGGGCCTTTCTGACATAACCAGGATGGCAGTGCCCAATAAAAGCTAATCAATTTGGATAGCCCGGCTCCAGCTTACTGAGTGCTTGGTGATAACCAAAATATAATGACAACTATTTAGAAGTCCTTGCAAAGAAAAGTGGCAATGATCTCAACTTAGTCTATAAATCAAGACTGAGTCAAGCTTACAGCACCTAACAAAAGCCTAGAGATCACAGCAGGTGTCTGATTGTTCTACCATCAGCTACTCCTGCTGATATGCAGACACTGGGCAGTGCTGGGTGACCCCAGTAGGAAATCCCCCAAAGCTGTGTGGCTTCAGGGCCTATTCAGCACCAGAAGTTGGGCCTACTGCCTCTATATTCCGACCTGGAAAGTCCCTATGCCATGGCCCTGGCATCCACAAAAAAATCCAGTCATTTGCCTGACATCATGGAAATGTACTAGTTCACGCAGAGGACCTAGTATGTGGGCTCATCTATTTGTGGAAAGAGGTAGTTCTTTCCAAAATTACTGAGTCAGAAATTTTACCAGCACTAGATTTCTTTTTAAGAAAAAGGGAAAAAAAATTAAGTTGGATAAACAGGATGAGTACTGTATCTCCTTCCCGAAGTGGGGCGGGGGGGGGGGTGCTAAACATAGCTGGGAATATTGGTTGGGAAGAATTGGGGTGGAATTTTTTTTTTTAATTTAAAACATGTGCAAACCCTTCAGTTACTTAATTTTAAAGCATTATTAGATAAGACAAAGCAAGACAACTCAGTGACTTTACTAATTTGTTATGCCAGTGTGCATTCAAAGAGAGGATTCTTTCTTTGAAAATAAATATAAATGTACTTCCAAGTTGGTCCTAAGACAGTTTCACTAAAATCAGGAAGTCAAGACCACTTGGCTGAAGTTCCTCCTAGTACTATCTGTGTTTATGTTTTAAAAGATAATTATTAATACTTAAAATTAAGCAGAGAACACAGCAGGTATGAATAGTTCTCACACATGTCTCAAAACTCAATTTCTAGTGAAATACATGGTAAAGCATAAAACACCCTACAGCTTTCCTTACGTGAAACTGGCATAGTTTGTGGAGTGCACATTTTCAAAAGTGAGAAACACTATGTAGTTTGCTATATATTTCAAGAGTAGTGAAGATCAAATTGCCTTCTGAAAGGCAAATCACTGTTCATCGTAAGGTTATAGAGGTACCAGAGTAACAAAAAATTCTAAACCTAGAACAATGGTTATTTCTAGGAAAAGTACCAACCATGCACCTAGTCTTAGTGATTCAATGTCTTTAGTTTTGAGTTTATTAATGTGAAAAAAAATGCAAGGGTTGAATAAGATGATATATGAGTCCCTTTTCACTGCAACATGATTATCAGAGCTATAAAACTGACTTACAGTTACTTATCATACAGTTAAGAACTGCAAAGGTTACTAATGACAGGCTATGGCCACGAGGTATCATCTTTGTCCCTCATTTATTTATTTCAACAAACATTCAGGAAAGTATACTGAGCACCAATGTTACATGTAGGCAGAATACAAGATTAAATGACAAAGAATCTCTGCCTTCAAGGTTCAGTTTAATCATGGAAGACAGATGTACAAGCAAATGACAACAACACAGGGTATGATGAGAGCAGGGGCTGTAGGAAGTTGAGAGGAAATAAGTGGCAGGACATGAGTCTGGATAAGGAAGTAATGACCACATTGAGAAGGACCAGGAATGTGATGCCACAAACTTGGACAGTATGTTACAGGAGGTAAGGCTGGCATTTTAAAGCTTCTAAGCCTGGAAATGATGCGGATCAATTTACATTTTGGAATTGCTTGAGCAGGAATATAGATTGGGTGGTGGGTGGTGATGTCGGGAGAACAAAGGAGGGAGGAAAAGAATGAAAGTGAGGTTTCCCTCCCTTTAGGAGAGAAATAAAATGATACAGCACGTTATGAGGAGACTTGAACCATGGCAGGAGTGGAAGTAATTCCTGAGACAGTCAGATTTTGGAGGGAACTGAAAGAGTATTGATAAGTGGTTGCTAATGTCCAAAAAAGATAATCCGTTCTTTCTCCCAAGCGTTACGGAGCAGCCCCGATATAAAAACGTGTTGCCTGGCTGTGGGTCCTCACCCAAGCGCTTAAAAGGGATTTATTTGTACTCCACTACAGGCACACACAAAAGGTTAATAAAAGGTTTATTTACAAGGAAAAGGGAAATGAGGAAATGCACAACTCGGGGAGAAAATGGGGAAATAAAGTCTTTAATGCTTCCTATCCGATCCGCCAACCTGGAACCCAAAGGCACCCCAAGAGCTGGCCAAGCTCTGTGAGCTGGCAGAGCGCCAAAAAAGGGAACCCCCTCCCCCCCAAAAGCCCACGTGTCTGGTTTTATACCAAACCTGGCTGCTTAACCCCACCCTCAGGTCCCAGCCACCTTCCCTTTGGTGGTGATGGATTTGTCTCTCCCAATGTCTTTTGGATTTGGTCTGGAGTGGGGGTGGAGTCCACAAAGCCTGTATGGAATTAGCTTTAGGCCATCCTTTTCCCCCTAACACAAGGATAAAAAGCACAGATGTAGAAATGCAGATTTTAGGTATTCTAGTATAGTAGTTCTCCCCCTCTTCTCAATATAATGCAGAACCTACAGGGCCTCCCCGGTGGCGCAGCGGTTGAGCGCTGGGTTGCAAAGCTGCACGCAGCCTCTGCAGCGCCGGTTCGATCCCCGGCTGCTCCCCAGCCACCGGAGGAGGGTCCCACATGGTGCGCAGACCTCTCCTGCCGCCCGCTGCTCCCCTCAGCAGCGTACTTCGGTCCTTCTGCCTGTTCTGCTCCCCACTCTGACTCTGGTGAATTCTCTCACCCTCCCGCGCTTCTGACTGTACCCAGTGCTTGTATAAATAAAACAAACAAACAAATAAATAAATAAATAAAGCATGCCTCTATTAAAAAAAAAAAAAAAGAATTAAAAAAAAATGCAGAACCTACAGCATTAAACTCTAATATTCACTCATCATCAGTGGGTGACAAATGTCAAGCACAGAGCCCAGCGCAGATAGACAGGGGCTTACTAATGTGGGGTGAATGAGATGGGTTAGTGAGCAAATGAAACCAGTAGATACATGTGCAGCAGCTGACTAACCCCTAGCTCGCTGGTCATATCAGCAATGATTTGATGAAAAGAGAAGTAAGGAAAGACTTTTCAGAACCTCAGTAACTCCTGGTACCCCCACCCCAACCACTGCAATTTTTATGCCATATCAGCAACGAGCTTCACTGTCCTTTCTGAAACAATGGAATGGACAGTTGGGTTATTACATAAGATCTGGCCACTCCCCACAAGTGGACTGTGACAGAGAATGCTTGCTCCTTGCTTTTATCTGGGCCCTAAGGAGGGCACTTCTATCTAAGAGCAAAAGTGTTCAGTCACCACAGAAGTGCCACAGACCACATGGGCATTTGTATACATTTTTATAAGGCAACAGCAACATCTACTCTCAGAAACCATTATCTTTACTCGAATATAGATAAAATGGAAAGCACAGAAAGGTAGCTCAGTTAGACACTGTCCTCCTAGTAAAGACTATTAGCCAGAAATTAGAAAATTCTGTCCACCTTTTAATTATGACCTCCTGATCCTTTCAGATATTCCCAGCAGTGAGTTTGTGGCACTAAAAAACAACCTGGAAATCTCATCATTCATTCCATACCCATAGTTGTACAAAACATTACACCCCTGCAAATGTTACCTACAGTAACAATATGTCCTTCCTGATAATTAACTGCATATGAGCCAGGTGATATGCTGAACCATCTCCCACATCATCCCATTTGATCCTGATCTTCCTTCATGTTAACCCTAAGAAGTGGCACATAAAGCTACTGTCCTTTTGAATGGAAAACAATGGGGCTGAGAGAAAACAGGCATCTTAGACAGCGATAAACCACCCATATCAGTCCTTCAGACTCAGCATCCAGGACTCTGTACCACTCCCCAGAGGCACCCCTCTCAAACCATGTGAGGGTTGTGGGCAGCTACTTCTGAAACATCTGAGACACAAAAGTTGACAAGACTTGCCTCAGGTTCCTCGTCTGGAAGTGGAGCCAGGTGAGTCCAGCAGCAGGCTCCGGGTTCCAGGCCTCCACCGCTGCCTCTAGTACTGGACCTGTTCCCTGAAACAAACCAAAGCCACACCACGGCATCAGCAAAGTACACAGTCCCCACCCTACTTTCAAAACGTCAAACACAAAATGGCTTTGTCAACACAGCATTAAGGTCATGAGGTTTCAAAAAAGAACAAAGACTTAGTAAAATTTGTTTTGACCTGTCAAGACCACCTTCACCTCAGGTCATAAAGGAACTAGTTTGGAAAACCATGGTTTGCAGATTTCTAATGTGCATGTTGATTTTTGTTTTCCCAGTATTTATCTATGTGTTTCTTCCACAGCCCACATGCACGCAACTGCTAAAGTTTTCAGGACTTATCAAGGACTTGAGAAAAGATTAAAGAGCCATTTTCTGCCCCCAAACCATAGAGAAAACAATGTCTACAATTAATCCTCACAGACTCCACTGCCAAGTGGCAAGCTGGTGTAACATTCCTCTGGTGCACCTTATGGGTGCATGTGTGCATGCATGTGTTTGCACACGAGTGTGGCAGAAGGAGGAGTGAAGATGGTAGTGGGAAACATGATGAATAAATTATATTTGGGAGGTTCATGTTGGTAAGGAACTTCCATCTCTTACAGCATTTGGCTGCTGACAAGATGATCCCACCCTTGAATACAAGGAAGCTGCACCCAGTCTCACAAAGCACAGAGTCAATCACCCCAGACAGAATCTGGACTTCCCTCCAAGACAAATATGGAATTCAATCTTTGTGTGGTGCCGTGAATGCAGCTAATTAATTTGCAATCCCTCAGTATGACCATACAAGGGAGGGAAAAGGGCTACTTCTGAGTCCTTCCTTGAGGGGGAAGCAATAGAGGAAAAAGCATAATATCTAAATCCCATAGCAAAGTTTGAAAACTTTTCCATTAAGATACACACCCTGGCTGAGTCATCAGCCTCACACCCCACAGTGGATCACCTCAGTACTAACTACCTTCCCTCTACATGGTTGTTCCAACTCTGTTAATTCTACTCAAAACAGAATAGGTAAAAAGCTAGAACTTGTTTCATTCTTTTTGCTTAGTCATTTAACCCTATATTTTTTAGAGTAAATGCACTAACCTTAATTCACTTAAGCACATGATCTATAGCTAAATGAATAAAGAAATCAAACCACAGCTGAGTGAAAATTATATCTGAAAATACTCAATAGCCAAAGCAGTAATAGCAACCTAAAGAAAACTGCTTCCTGAAGCAATGAGAATGGTTTAAATTCCACATAACGTTATGAGGAGGTAAATTCTCACATCCTAACATTAATGAGTAGAAACTTCCCAACTATGATTAGCATCTCCCAAGCAGCGGTGGAAGAGTTCCCATATCCTGACTATCCAAGTTCAAAAACGTGCCGGAGCCCCTTCTATGTGTTTTCAAAACTAATCATCACTGACTACTCTCCCAATATTTGAATACAGCATATGGGGGACTGAATGAAAGGTTCTGGATTTCCTGACAGCTTTCACAGGCCATCATCTACTCACAGTGTTCCGCCTCTGCTCAGGGGAAACCTGTCCCCACCAACCTCCAGCAGGCAGCTCCAGCACTACACCTGCTCTACCTTGACCCCCTCTCACTACGTCGAAAATGAGTTTGCCATTCTCTCACCATCACATAAAAAAATACAAAAAAATGCAGTTTTAGAATTCTCTTAAAACTAAAATAAGATTCCCACTTCTTCAGATAGCAAGTAGATGATTATCTTGTGAATCTACTTATAAGACTAATAACTAGACTGCTTGAGCCCCTCATCCCACTCTTGCTGTGTGAGCTGAGCCAGTTACTTCATCTGTGTGAGTTTTGGTTTTCTCATCAAATCAAAGGGGCTCTTGGCAGTGCCTGTAGTGCATTTAGAATAGTAGTTGACACATGATAAGTGGTCAGTTTGTAGAAACTATTATCATCATTACTGCTGCTATCATTGCTGCTGTTAACTTGACAATGATACTGTGAATATGTCCCTTTACTCTTCTTCCAGTGAGTGAAACAATCTATCACAAATAAATTAGATCTCTGAGCAACCACTAAGCTAAAGAAAAGACTACCTTGACAGTTAGTTTGGTTAGCAAGCTACACATTCCGAGGAACTTCATCAGTGACTTAACACCAAGAAGACTCAACTATAATAACAGTTTCAGATCTATTTGTCTCTCTTCTGGGCAACTGTGGCTGATTTCAGATGCCACTAAGTTATGAGTACTAAATCTGTGAAGCCATGAAGCCAAAAATGTTTTCTCTTCAAAATAATCACAACACATTTGGAGAAATGAATGCATTTATAAACAGGCTACAACACAGAAAATAAATCAAAATATAGTAATTGGAACAGGGGGTAAAACAGGTTCATTTTTCATGGGGGTTAAAAAAAGAAATAGCATTGCCAACCCCCCCCCCAAAAAAAATGATACTGAAGACTGAAAAGTTAGAGGTCATGAACTATAATATATGCACTGTGAATACTTTAGTCATGAATATGTAATCAAGATTTTATTTAAAATAATTTACATATTAAGGGAGCCTCCCTGGTAGCACAGGGGGTTGAGCACAGCTCTGTGAAGCTGGCCGCAGCCTCTGCAGCACGGGTTCAATCCCTAGCCGGCCAGGGAGATATCCACATGGTATGGCAGACCTCTCCCCTGCCTTACCTGTGGCTCCCCTCAGCAGTGTTTTTGGCCCGTCTGCCTGTTCTGCTCCCCACTCTGTCTCTGGTGAATCCTCTCACCCTCCTGCACCTCTGGCCTGTACCCCAGTTGTTGTAAGCAAAAATAAATTAAAAAATCTTTTAAAAATAGATATTAAGGAAGGGGATAGATATATAGATATACAGGAAGGGAAAATACATTAACATGATAGAATTAAAAATAACGAACTAGCTTAAAATATTTGCAATTCATAATAACAAAGAGTTAAATACAACACGGTATTAATAGCTATTCTTAAACAGTCCTAACTATGTATCGGATACTATTCCAAACCATATACACATATCTTATATACATGAAGAAATGCTACTGAGTCAATAAGAAAAAAACACAAACAACAATATTGAAAGAGGGCAAAAAATCCCAAGGAGGAATTTCATAGACAAGAAAACAAATGGTTCATAAACATAATGAAAAATGCTAAACTACACTTCTAATCAGGGAAATGGAGAGAAATCCCCAACAAGATATCACTTTATACCCTAGATCAGCAAAAACTTAAAAGGTTTTCGATACCTAGAGTGGTTGAGGAAGGAGAACCACGGGACTCTACTCCATGCTAGTGAGGGCAGAAACTGGTAAAGCACTTTGGAGCCCAGCTCACTCCTCACTGCTCAGGCAAGCTGAACACACACACACCAGTGGTCAGACCCACTGCACGGTATGTGCCACAAAGATGCGCCTGCACCAGAAGCAGAAGCACATTTAAACAATGACCACTGGAACTCTGTTCCCACAGACCAAAGTACGGCAAACGACACAACTGCCCATCAGCAGAGATGGAAGGACTATATTCACCAACTGAAAACTACACAACATCGCAGACACACAAAATCCAAAGGGAAAAAAAAAAGCAAGCCACAGACGAATACCCACTGTGTGTTTCCACATATATAAAGTTCCGAACCAAGTAAAATAACCTAGTACTGATTCATGGGAGAACGGGCACACTGGGCTTAGGAGGTAGGAATGCCCCAACATTGTGAAAGATATTCTGGGGTCCACTTGGCTTATACTTACAGTGCACCTGTCTTCTATTCTGCCATGAAACACCCTTCAACATTTGAAGAAACAACTTAACACACAGTCCTTTCAAGTGAGTTGTAGACAAGGATACATAATGAATTCATCATTGAAACAATGAATTCCTTCAGGAAGTAACTACTAAAAAACCTGCAACAAAATCAAAACCCTGAAACTTTAAGAGAGTCAAACTAATTCACAAGCAGGAAAACAACAAAGTAACAAAGTGAAGCATCAATCGTCAGCACGTGTCCTACAAAGCATTTTTTTCTTACAAGTCTGAGGGGGAAAGGGGCTGTGGGAGAAAATAAACCTGGGAAATAACTGGTCAAATGTGCAAATCTCCTAGCAAAGGAACAGAATTTACTGAATTCTGACTCTGGAACCTTTTTCCTTTTTCACATGGTGAATAATATAGTGATTTTTTTTTTTTTTTTTAGGACTTGAGTTTCCTCCAATTAAAGGGAAAAGTGATTCTAACAGAGGTGGTGCTAAATAAAAGATGAGGGCAAGAAAGAGGGAAAAGCTCAAGCAAGGGTGCTCAGACAGCTCAGTCCTCAGCAGCTAACTGTCTACACCAAATCTGACTGTCTACACCAAATCTGATTGGGGTTAAAACTCCCAACCAGACAGGAACCTTCAGAACAAACTTAATGTCTCCATAAAGTGTGACAGGAAAGATCTACACGGAAAATAGAGAACCATTTCCAGAACTTTTAGGGTCATGGTTGACTAACAGACAGGGGGCTCAATGAGACCTACAGCACAGAATCTGTTTGAAAACAGATCTGTCCATTAAGACTCACACAGGCAATGCCCTCATTACAGTCAGAAGTATATGGAAAGACATCATCGTCAGGTTTCTGGGCAAGCATTGAATCAAAATTAAGAAACTAAGAGGAAGTGGATATTCAATGGTCTTTTCATCTAATTAGTAATTGGGTTTTTTGTTTTTTTTTTTTTTTTTTTTTTGGTGGGACCCTCGCGGCGGCCGGGGAACGAACCGGGGCTGCAGAGGCTGCCGGCAGCCTCGCAGCCCAGCGCTCAACGGTTGCACCACCAGGGGAGGTCCATCAGTAATTGTTTTTTAATTAAATAACTACTATGTCCATGTGCTTTTCTAGGTGCTAGGAATACAGAGGTCTCTGTTCTCAGAGAGTTGATATCTTAATAACAGCTTAGAAGTATATATTTCCAGAAGTTTATTAAAATATGAAGAGCAAAAAAATTGGAAGCATTCCATCGTATATTCAACAGTAGAGCAAAGACTGAGTAATCAT